AGTTGTATGAGCCCCTAATAAAATGATTAAAAAAAAAATTAGTCAGCAGATACCAAGGACTCAAGTACAAAGCAAATGTTTTGAGAATGATGATGGCAATGTATGTACAAATGTGCTTGACACAATGTATGTATGTATAGATTGTGATAAGAGTTGTATGAGCCCTCAATAAAATTATTTTAAAAAAAAAGAAAGAAAATTACTTACTGGTTGTAAAGCTCTGGGTGTCTAACTAAGTTCTGAATGAACTCATTCAGTCCTGCTCTTCTTTGTTTAATAAAATCTGTTAAGAGAGACATAACTATTAGGATCATTTATGACAGAGCATGTAATTATCATTAATGTAATTATATTAATAGACAGTACAATATATTGAATATTGATTGTTTTTTCTTAGTACAAGTTTCTTGGTTTATAGCAGAGATAAATACTTAGAAGTATATATGTGAGAGGGCTTCAAAAGTTCATGGAAAACATCCGTTCTAAAAAAAATTCCATTTCCGACAAACTTTTTGAACTTCCTCATATTTAAACTATGATTAAAAACTAAAATAAAGCAGATGACATGTTTCTAAATAGAACATTCTAAAAAAAATTCTTATCATAGGTTTTAAATAGACTTTTTACAAAATCTGGAGCGGCACAACTCTTGAAGCACTTTCAGGTAACTAACATCAACAGATGGCTGACGACTATATAAATCAAAAAACAAGAGTAAATGAAAACCTTTTGCGAATGCAGAATGATTAACTGAGGCTTGCCAAAACTCTAGTTTTAGATTTTGCGGCTAAAGACTCTTTAAAAGAAAACTCATTACTGGTATATTGTTTTAACAAATAATTTTCCAGCACCTTCAAAATATTTTATTGTTGGTACATGAGGCGAAGTTAACAGTTTAGTAAAAATGTTTGAGCACATGGAGTTCTTGGAGTCAAAAAACTTTATTCAAATATCTTATCTCTGCAACTGACTAGCTGACTTTGCACCACGACTAAATCTTTACCTGTAAATGGGGATGACAGACATATTTATATCTGTTCACATTGTTACAGGATGAAGTGAAGGACTGTGAGTATAGAGGAGAAGGCCCGGCACACAGTAAGAGTGAACCGTTAACTATCATTATTTATCATAGTTGCTAATGAATACCATATGGGTCAAAAGTCCTCCTTTTAAACTCTCATTCTTAGGATAAATATTCTTTTAAAAAGCGAGGATACAGGAGAACTGAGACCAGGCCTCCTCACAGTGAAATGTCTGGAGAAATACTGTCCCTCCAAGGAGGACATTCATGGTACGCTCTTGTTGAGTACACTGATTTCCACTCAATAAAGTCTTCAATGAGTAGTGTTTGACATCAAAACTATGGGCTTATTTTGGGTCATGTAGGTTTATGTCTGTTTCTTTTTTTTTTCTTTTATTTTTTTTTATTTTTTTGTCTGTTTCTTAAATATTACCCATGGCTGTTAAACAACAAACATAAATCAGGTATGGCTTCTTGGATCTAGATGCACTTGATACTCTGCCCACCTGGTTTAATAATTTCTTGAAACGCTTTAAGAAGGTATGTTGTAAAAAAAAAAGAAGAAGAAGAAGAAATGTAAAATCTCTTCCAAAAACAGTTTTCACATTGCTGGCAATATAGTATATGTGAGGCTTGTATTAAACACTACTTGAAAAGCTATTTCCCAGGAATAGGACTTAGCAACAGATTTCACCTACGTATCTAATGTGACAGCGATATGAAGAACTAAAATGAATGACTGCACTAGGGATAGTTGGAAAAAATCTAACATGGAAGTAGCTTTAACAGGCTCTGTGGTCACTAAAGGAAGATAAGTTTTGCTTTTGGAGAACAGCTGGGAAGAGAGGAGCGTCCTTTCTTCAATGAGCTATACAGAGTCCAGGCTGTCCCAAGTGCAACTAGACTGTCCAGTTCATTACTGATTTTAACATTTTCTAAACCTTATACACCTACTTCTCACACTCAGCAACCATCTCATTACCTCACAAAATTTGCATTTATAACAACAGTAGAAAAATCTACTATATACCTATTTTGCACATTAACAACTTGAGTCTAGCAATAAAGAATGCCAAGGTGCAGAGCATGAGTCTGGCTGTAATGGTTACAATTATGTGGACTTGACTGGTCCACAATTCTCTGGTTTGGCAGTTTTGCATTTTGGCATTATGTAATGATGTAGCCATCCACTGCTTCTGAATAATGCTTCCTTTCACATAATAACCTAGTCTTTATAATGTTACCATGTTGATAAGTGATGAGCGGGTGCACAAGAAGGGAAAACTGCTATTAAACAAGAAACCCAGTGGCAGTTAAAATATAGGAGAAATTTTCAGCTTAATTTTTAAACATGAAGCAAGAAAATACCTGAAAAAAAACAAGTTATGCTAAACTGTGTGCCAGCTGTGATGACAGTTTTATAACACTTACATAAGCTATCTATTCTCTTTAAGAACTATCGTTGGAGATGCATGCAGGGAAAGAGGCACTGCCGGGCACTGAGGAGACCATGCCTTTAGTCGCAACACTGCAGCTGGCCAGAATGGCAGCCTCATTATATTCATGATCAAAGGAGGGGTCACTTACTCTTCACCTACACACCTCTCAGATTAGGAAATAGGGAAAGATTTTTATAATATGTTCCAAGCAAGCAATTTCACAATAAGTCCTGTAAAAGATTGTGATATTATTTTTAAAAGGCACATGCATAAAGTAGACAGTAGAGTACATGGATAAAGGAATGAAATTTCAAAACAAACCAATCTGGATGGGTCTAATTTTGCCCTGCTAGCTGGGTGGCTTGGAAAAGTGGCCTAACCTTATGAAGCTTTGGTTTTCCTCATGAAAGAGGTAAGTTTAAAAAAAAAAAAGCGATTTTATACTTACAATGGCAAATAACAGCATATTATTATTATCACAACTGTTACTATTACAGTAGTAGTAATATAAGAAAAAAAAAATTCCTGGGTGGTATAAATGGTTCACACGGCTCAGCTGCTATCTGAAAGGTTGGAGGTTCAGTCCTCCCAGTGGTGTTTCCAAAGAAAAGCCTGGAATCTACTCATGAAAAACCAGCCAGCGAAATTTGTACAGAGCACAGTCTATCTGGCCACACTGGAGGCACCAGGACTCACAATCAACTCAACAGGAACTGGCTAAACACACCCTGGAATCAACCCAAGAAGTGACAATTAGGCCCAATTGTTCCATCCACTGGCTTTGTGATCTCAGACACACCCCGCCTTTATTTCATCCGCCAATAGAGGGTGGAATTAGATGATATGAGGTCTGTTCCAGCTATCACGACCCCGCCACCAGTTACAGCATTTGGAGATTGTCACATACATAGCGTAAGACTCGTTAACAAAATTAATGTACCTAATTCCAGAGCATCAATGACTTTGAAGTTTAAATTACATAATGAGTAATATTTTAAATCTTTTCCCCTCCTGGCCTCCCTCACATTAAAATACCTTTGGAAAAAAAAGAAAAGATATTTAAAATCTTTAACCTACTAATATTAATTTAGTAAGCTCCCCCAAATGAGTGACTAAGTTGAAAATGGCATGCATACACTCATATGTCCACTAACTCACCTGTTGTAGAGAGATGTATGTATTGTACATACAGTTTACACTGAGCAAGGCACGGGAAAGAAATAGTTCACTAAGACAAGGTACCCATCCTTAAGAAGTCTAGAGGGATTCAAATAAATCACCAGTTCGCAGGCACATCAACCGCGCCATCCACAGAGCGCCCAACAGAGAACAGGCCCACAAACCCACCTAGCAACTAGCTCTTTAAAACAAAATTTGCTGGAGTGGGATGCTTACACCAAGTCCTACACAGGTCTGCTAGGCAGAAAGCACTAACCTTACCAATTCACACCCATCAAGGGTGAATTGTCTCTTTATTTTGTACCAACTTTCTCTCTTAAATTAGTGGAAATAAAAATTGAGGAATAAGTGGTTTCTCTGTGTAAGGAACTTATCAGCAAAAGGTTTTTGTTTTTTTTGTTTTTAATGCTTTTATGGGGGGCTCGTACAACTCTTATCACAATCCATACATACATCGTGTCGAGCACATTTGTACATTTGTTGCCATCATCATTTTCAAAACATTTTCTTTCTACTTGAGCCCTTGGTATCAGTTCATTTTTTCCCCTCCCTCCCTCACCCAGCAAAAGGTTTGATGGCTGATATTCAGAAGTTTAAAGTAAAGCTATCTGACTACACTCTACAGAACATTTTTTAACTTTGCAAAATATCGTGGATATCATGCTCATAAAGTGCCTTCAAATATGTACGACACCTTACGGAGGTTGGCAACCACCACGCCGCAGTGAGCAAAGGAGACGGAAGAGCTGGGCGGAGCGGTAGCAGCATCTTTCCTTGCGGGAAGAAGCAAGGAGAAGTTCTGTTGGATGGCAGGCGACAAACAGGTAAGCCAAAAAGGGGAGTTTTCTGGATCTTTTCTTAGGTATGACAACTATTTTTTAAAATTTTATTTTTTAAAAGATAATTTTATTGAGGGCTCTTACAGTTCTTATAACAATCCATATATCAATTGTATCAGCATATTTGTTCAATTATTTTTTAACTTTTTAATGTGGAAAAAGAAAATTTTAGGAACACAAAAAGGTGAGAGACAACAGAATGAACTCTTGTGGATGCATCACTATACTCCCATCTACTACTTTTTAAAAGCAAAGTCTGGAAATCCACTATATTACAAACAAAAACAAAGCCCAGAAGACATCTTTAACAGGTAATGGCTCTTCAACACTACAATAAAGTTATGACTATTAGTATCTCATGTTGCCAAGATATTCTTTGGTACTCTTCAAGAGACGGAGCTTAATTCTTTTCTTAAGTGGGCCAGACTCAATGGTTCGCTTACAGGGAATAGAAGATGGTGGGTGGGTGGTTTGTGACTTCCAAGGCTGTAACAGGCTTGTGATCCTCTCAGATCACTCACTCATGGGAAGCCAGCTCCCCATGCTGCGAGAATACTCTAGGAGCCACAGGACAGACCACACGGCAGAACCTGAGGCCTTCTGTGGACGATCATCAGCGAGCCACCTGGGAAACAGCTCCCACAGCCCCAACCAAGTCTTCACCCCATCGGCAGTCGTTGCCTGCATTCATCAGGGGTTGGGAAGTGATTTCCCAATTCCATCCTTTCTTGTGCATTTATTAGCTGTGATTCTTAATGACGTACTTTCTTTCTACCATTACCTCTTTGTTTCACCAGAAATT